CTGGGACAAGAGCTATCGAGCTATCATTACTCGCTTGCCGGACCATACCGTACTAGCGGCTGCAGAGCTGAAGTTGGAGGAGGAGGCGGCAGCACAGGCAGCCGAGGCAGTAGCAGAGCCAGCAGCAACAACTCTCGCAGCGGACGATGCACCAGTCGATCCAGCTACAGAGTATGCTGACATTGACATAGATATTGACTTGGAGCACTCAACAGATGATGCAGTTCAGCATACTCCAGCCGGGTCACCTATCTACGAGCAGGAGTAGACCCAGGAGCTGTCTTCTGACTCATCCATGCCAGACTTGACCCCCGGCTTCGGAGTGCGTCTGCAAACGCATGAGGACACTGTTATTGCCATCAGAGCTGACCTCACGGCCCACAGAGTGGAGTTCGCTGCCTTCCGCACGGATGTCACCGCTATGTTCAGAGATTTATCCCGAGACATTAGTGGAGCCAGACCTGCCCGCCCTACCTCATCCTCTAGAGTCCCAGTCCCTTCTGTTTCAGGATCTCTCATCATACATATTTTTGTCACTGTACTTTATTATTTTTCCAACCAGTCTGTCGGCTTTCATATATTTGTACCTGTACTTTATTTTTCATATATATATATCTATCTTCTGTTATAGATGTCTTCTTATTGCATTCTCATACATGTATGTTTGATTCCATTAGGTACATCACAGTGACTTCAGTGAGAGAGTGCTACGCAATTTTTAGGAACACCCTTATACCTCTCTCATTTCTCTATTCTGTTTATTCCATTTACACTTGCATGTCCACTGTGCACTGATTACCCCATTTTGTTATCTGATGAATTTATCCAATTGCCAAATTTCAGGACCACAGTTCATCCCAAGTTTGGGGGGGCCATGCCACCCACTTCGGATAATTCAGTCCCGATCATTCTATGCTTTAGTTGCACTGGTATACTCTTTCCTTTGTTCTCTTGCACATTGAGGACATTGTGCCATTTAAGTTTGGGGGAGATTATGTTTTGTAGTGTTAGCTTTTAAATTCAAAATTTTTAGCATGAATTGTGTATTTGAGGAATATTTTTATGATTGGTCCATATCTAGCTATGATTTTGATCTTTTGAGGACTATATTGCTTAAAATTTAAAAATTGCTTGACTTGAGAGTCCAATACTCCTTGTATGCCTTGTGGAAACCATTTAGGAGTAAATTTTTCGAAAGATTGACATCTTGCTTACACTTGTGGCCCACATCATCCTGACTTTGTGATTATTTTGAGATTCATTCTAGGATTCTACACTAGCACAGGCGCACACTAGCATTCATTTGTGGGGTACATATTTTGTTAATTATTGAATTGGTTATATCCCAATTGGGTTAGTAGTGTATTGAAAGCTTTCATTCTTGATAAAGGTGGATAACAAACCCTTTTCACTAAGTAGCCGGGATTCTTGCCTCATTAAGCATTGAACTTCTCGCGCCGAAATGTGGAGGGCCCAAACTCTAGGTTAATAATTGAAAAAAAAAAAAAAAAAAAAAAAGGTTGTTGCAAAAGCAATAAAAGTGAGGACTTCTCCCAAAAAGGTAAGAAGTAGGAAATGATTAGATGGTTGTTGTCTTGATTTGTAACCTAGTTGATTTGAGCTTGTAAGTCTGTAGGGGTGTCTTAACACCTAGTGCCCTAAAGCCGTCTGGTTTGGGAGTCATTGACCTAAGGCTCGGTGTGGGAACCAGCCTTTATGTCGTACATTTCCCAGGTTATATAGTATTGTAGTTGATAAACATGTCATAGTTGCTAACTGTTATCATCTTGATAATAATGGGATTACGTGGAATGTTCATTTTCGGTTTTCATTTCAGGATTGGGAGTTGGAAGAGGTGAGCATTTTCTTGGATCAATTGTATCGGCAAAGAAGGAATTGGCAGGGGTTTTGACAATTTGATTTGGATTCCCTCCTCTCACGGGCATTTTGCAGTAAGGTCCTTGTTTTTATGTCTGTCTAATTTTGCATCCTATGATTTTCCTTGGAAGATTATTTGGTGCTCCATGGTTCCTACTAGGGTGGCATTTTTTGTATGGATTGCTGTATGGGGAAAGATTTTGATGATCGATAATCTGAGGAAAAGGGGAAATTTTCTTGTTAATTGGTGCTGTTTATGTAAGCAGGATGGGGAGTCAGTCAATCATCTCCTACTGCACTGTTCTATAGCGCACGATTGCTGGAATCTCATTCTTGGCCTTTTTGGCATGTGTTGGGTAGTGCCACGTTCTACTAGGGAGCTAATTCATACTTGGAGAGGTTGTCGTGTGAGTAGGAGCGTTCGTGCTTATTGGAGATCTGTACCACATTGTATTTGGTAGTATATCTAGAAGGAGCGAAATAGTAGAATGTTTGAAGGGAAGGAGTCATCTACAGCGACACTGAAACTTTTTATTATTCGCTCTCTTTTTTTGTTATGTGAACAGAAGTTCGTGTTCCTCTTCTGTTGAATAGTAGAATGTTTCTTTGTCTACGGGACGCGTTCCCCTATTGAACGCCCTTTTTAATTTATTATTACTTATATAAAAAATAATAATAATTAGGTATATATGAGTTGAGATAACTTAAATTTTTTATTCAGATTTAGTTATACCAAACTAGTTACTCAATCCATAAAAATGTGTAACGTACTCTAAATCGATTAATGCATAGCGGTCAACTATGCCATGTTAGTTTTTCATATTACGAAACGGTGCAAATGAAGTTTGAATTGACATGTGCAAGTGCCGGATAGAAGTCAGAAGTTAGGAATAGGGCACATGTTCATTAATTTGTAAATATATATACTCCTATAGTCCTATGTACTACTAGTACAAGTTTGAAGTTTTGACTTGTCTACAATCAAAGCCCTCTCATATTCCAGTTTTTGACTTTTCTTAGTTCATGGGTGTGGCCAAGCCTTTCAATAGCAACGCATTCAAGAATCAAATCTTGCAGGTGAACGTTCCAAAGACAAAGAAGACATATTGCAAGTCTAAGGAATGCCGGAAGCATACCTTGCATAAGGTTACGCAGTACAAGAAGGGAAAAAGTAGTTTGGCTGTGCAGGGCAAGCGCTGGTATGATCGGAAACAGTCAGGTTATGGTGGACAAATCAAACCTGTTTTCCACAAGAGGGTAAAACCTATTTCTATTATGTCTCTTTTCTTTACAGGGGTATCTTATTTGAAATGACCCTCATCCATGTTTTAACTAACCTATGCACTTCTCTCCCGATGAATGTCCTATCTTATAAATTGAACCTTTGTATGGTTGGTAGACTCAGGGAAAAAAATTACAACATTGCTTTCTCTGTGTCGGCAAAAACTACAAAGAAGATTGTGTTGAGGCTGCAATGCCAGAGGTGCAAGCATGTATCAGAGCACTCAATCAAGGTTAGCTTCTCAACTTCCATTTGCTCTTCCGTTTTCGATTCTATAAGTGTTGGTTTCTTGTTTTTTATGGATATGTGATTGTTGCCCTTTTTTCGCAGAGGTGCAAGCATTTTGAGATTGGTGGAGATAAGAAGGGGAAGGCGACATCTCTTTTCGAAGTGGCAGTTTTATGGAGAATTATCCTGGTCTTGTTTCTGTGCTATGTTTCTTGACCTAAGGTTTAACTTTCAATTTGAATGCTTCTGTCTTTATGCTGGTCACCATGTCAATTGAAGTTTTTACTTTTAAAAATGGATGGATATACTTTGCATACTTGATGGACAATGTAGCTTGGATTAAGCCATCGAGATTATGAATATAAAAATGGATTTTAAAAATCAGTAATAATTAGCAGGCAGGTTGTATAAAAATCCCGCTAAATCCAATTGATTTGTGTTGCATTGTCTATTTGGCTTTCTTAATTTGTTGTCATAGAATTTTGTGTACTGAACCTTGTTACCTATCAGTGCTATGGTAATACGTTCATTTGTATATTTGTGCCAACGGGCAGTCGTCTAGCGGTGTCAGCCTCTTATTTTCTAAAGAGAGGTCAGGAGTTCAAGTCTCAGAAGAGACAAGTATGTGTGAGTACCAATTAGGAAAAAAAAAATACATTCATTTGTATATTTATGCATATATATAGACATATTTATATTGATCAATGATTATTGTCGTATGTTTTTGCTTTTATTTATTTTTTTGGGTAAATTATTTTTAATTTAATGGAACTACTCCTATATTTTTTGGGTAAATTATTTTTATTTTTACTTTCTAATACATTTTTACTTTTAAAAAAAAAAAAATATCATGCATAAGCCTGGCTGCACTCCTATGGGCCTTTGTATAGGCTCAAGTTTATTTTAGATCATAAATGGATCTTTTAAGCTTAAATACTTGATTTTCTTCTCCTTCAGTAATGAATCCTTTTAAGTTTTACGTTTTAGTATCTTCATACCATTTAGGATTGCAGCTTTTCCATCCATATAATATAATCTCATTTTCACAGTATGCAATAGTAAGAGCGAAAAGTATTTTCATAGTTAATTTCCTCGTCTTGGTTATACCCTTTTGCCATTTCCCTTCTTCATTTAGCCTTTTGGTCTCCAGAAAAGTTAATGACAAATTGCATAAAATATATTATGTTGGTTTTCAGCGAAAAAATTTGAAATATACTTTCCAAAGGTCTGTCCTTTATTCCAATCAAGTTTTTCTTCTCTTCATGTATTGTTTTTACTTTCTAATACATTTTTACTTTAAACTAATGTTACATCAATGTGTTGTACGTTAGGCTTAGAGTGAAGTACCCGTCTAACAAAAAAAGTTATTAATCTAACGTAATAAAATTATAGAATACCTGGAAAATCACAACTAAGCATTACTACAACTTAACCTTATGACCTTGTGACCTTGTGACATAGGAGTAATATTTTTGGAATAACCTTATGGTATAATTAATAAAAACACCTATATAATTTACTTGTGTAAGCAACATAGTAATAAAATTCATAATAATAATAAATAATAATAAAACTAATAGAATAAATAATTATTGACTTTTAAAATCGAGAACATCTAACACTTCAAGGTACTTCAATCATAACTTCATACCGAAAACAAGAAAGAAGAAAGATACACTTCAAACATAGATAAACAATCTTCAGCAAAACATGACAACGGTTCATTCACACCCAAATAAAAAAAAGAATATGGAAGAAAATAAAGTCCAACACATTGTAGCACAAATAATAAATTATATATGAAACTTTCTTGGCATTAGCAAGAGAGAACCCAGAGGATTGGATCCGCCACCTTTTCACTTCAGTCAGTTGAGTTTGTGAGCTTACTTCCACTTCCAAATTGACAACTACCAGCCTGTCCCAAAAGTGAACACTAAAAATAAAAAAATTAAAAATTAATCAGATTCACCAAATAAGTATATTACATAAGTGCAAAGCATACTATTGATGGAGCAAAGCGTGAGACCTGAGTTGTGAGAAGTATAGGTCTTGATAGCTACCAAGTCACTGAATTCATATGGCAGAAACTAGAAAAAAATGTGGTTATCCATGTGGTCATTTTTTTTTCAATAATATATCAAGTTTGACACACAGAAATGGTCGTAAAATTTTTCAGGTAGAAAAAATCACATTGAAGGAATCCACCTCTTTCTGTTCCTTTAATTTAGAATTTTAAACCTCAATTCCATCCACAAATATGTAAAAAAACACTAGAAATACCACCATTCATTCATTTGAATTTAAATAATTGTCTTATCTAATTATAATTTTTCATTAGTTTATAAGATTTCTTACTTAACCCAAAAAGAAAATATATTCTAAACATTATCCAAATAATTTAGATAGAGGAATTCGCATCCTTCAGGACCTTCACGGTTTGGACAACTAAATTTGGGAAATGCAAAGTTTAATTACAAATCAATTTAAAAATTAAAAATACCATCACAAGTGAACCATTTAAATGAAAAGCAGAGTTCAGGACAAACTTCATAATATTTATATAAAAAAATAGTTTATCACTAGAAAAAGAATATATATATATATATATATATATATATATATATATATAATCTCTTATCAAAGTTTCATTTCATAGTTACCATTTAATTTTATCATCGATGTACTTATCTATCGAGATGTGAATGTCTGCATTTTGTCACAACTTATCAGCCTAACAAAACGCAGGGATGGCAATTTAAAAACATTATTTGCCCAACAAAAACTTGTAAGGTTAAAAACTTATTACCTTATTATTATTCACGGTCATTTCCACTGAAATAAATTTAATTCTCACACGGATCACATGAGATTCCACCTGTGAGATGGAAAAAGAGAGAAAAAATAAAAATAAAAAATAAAAAATAAAAAGAGGGAAAATGGAAAAGACGTTGTTACCTTACATTACTCCTTGAGCATAATATCATCTTCATCATGTTGTTCAATTTTTTCCCAAAGACTTGTTAGACTTGTTCCTTCATCATCATCATTATACATAGTACTACTCCCTGAAATAAACACAAATAGACGGGTTAATTAGAAAGCATTAATTGAGTATTTTATTGTAGTAATTGAGGACAAAAGTAAAAAAAAAAAAAAATAAAAAAAAAAAAAAAAATAAAAAACATAGTTGACCACAACTGCGTAAGAAAAAGAATGAATGTATATATAATCTTTTATTAGAATTTTGTGACATTTCATAGTTACCTTTCCTTTTTTGAAGAAGTTGTTGTACATGGTTATTGAGGTCACTAACTTTTTGTTTCATCCCCCACTTAGATTCACATAATTCTATCACATTTGTGCTTATCTGTCCAGATGTAAATGTCCGTATTTTGGGACAGTCTCCCAGCAGCACAAGTTGTAGGGATGGCAATTTAAAAGCTTTATTTGCCCAACAAAAACTTGTGAGGTTTGGTAATGCTTCTAACTCTACAGACTGTAACTTGGGAAACACAATTTCATCCATGGCACCATCCTCTTCACCTTGATCTTCATTTTTAACTATTTCTTCAATCGCATCACACCGGTCAACTTTCAGTTTTTCAATATTTGTGAGATTTCTTGCGATTGAGAGTGAGAATAAATATTTCAGGCTGTTGCAATAATGAACTGATAAAGATCTTAGGTTGTGGTAGGAGTCCAACTTTGTTATTTGAGAAAACACTGCTGCTCCTCTTTTGATGTCTTCAAGTCCTTCAAGGTTGAAGACAACTTGTAATGAATCACACCATAACAGAGTGAGTTCTTCAACAACTTCAAACCTCTGTAGCAGCAGGGTATGAATGTTCACTAGCACACTGCAGTCCAGCTCCAGCTTTCTAACTTTGCTAAATGAGGCTGCTGGGACATGGCCATACCAAATATCTTCAAAGATTCTTCCATCCGAGAGTCTCAAATCCTCCAAGACAGGAAAAGCAACCTACACAGATTATATAGTACTGTTTGAAGCCTGTAAAATTTGATGAAATAAAAGCAACGTACAGACAAATCAATTAAAGAAAACTTATTTTGTTATTAAATTTTCAGCTAAAAGGAGTTTCAAGTGTGATGGATGGGTTGCTGGACATGCATCCCCAAGTTACGCTTCACATGAAGCTGCTATTTGAGACAATAATGGCAAGGTAAGGTAATTTTGGATCAAAAGTTTAATACAATTGGAAATGGTCAAATTTCAAAAGTAGTATGTTAGGGGTGCATAAAATTTAATTTATTCTTAACCGTTTCGAATATAAATCATATAATATATATATTATGATATTATATGATTTATATATTATGATATTACTTAAATTATATTATGATATTATATTTTAAAATCATATAATATCATAATATATATTACTTAACAAATTTTTTTTTTTCAATATTGGACTTTCTTATTAAAATACATTTAATATTATTTTATTATTTAAGGTTAGCGGTATTCGCACTCCAGTAACCTCCTCAAACGCTCCACTCCAATTATCCTAAAATAAAATTACAAAAATTCTTTAAATCACCAAAACATTTTTATATCATGTGTGTCCCTCTTTGTTAACCTAAAAGTGTGTTGCATCATCTCTACCACACAATCTCTCTCCCCCTCTTGACCAAACAACCCTCCATCCCTCTCATCAACACTCTTTGGCATTCTTTACATCATCAAAGCTTCTTAATAAATATACTTTTTATTTTTTTTTTTTACTTCAAAACTTCAAGCTCACCAAATCACCAACGTCATATTTCCGTTATTCTTAGATTTCGAAAATTTTGTGAGCCTTTTGTTGGATGCTATGGTTATATTGAAATTAGAATTGTTTCTATTTATTTTTGGGTATCGTTTTTGGTTTAGAGTTTGAATCAGAGGGTGTAGCTTGATATTATAACAGTTTTTGAAAAAATTACTTACCGACTCTCTTGTACGAAAAAAAAAAAATTTAATTTTTAAAAACGTGGGTTCATTCATAAATTTTTTAAATCGTGGGTTCATTCAAAAACTATGGGTCATTGCAGATATGCAATGACTTCTTTGTAATACGTAAGGCCTATATATATATATATATAATAGTATGTTGGGGGTGCATAAAATTTAATCTATTCTTTAATTATCAAAAAAAAAATTTTATTTATTCTTAACCTTTTCGAATATGAATCATATCATATCATAATATATACTAATATATATATACATATATATATATATATAATTGTTTTTCCGCTGGAAAGATTTAACCAAAAAAAGGTGCTTTGCTTTGCCAACTTCTGAAGCCAGAAATAACAAACTAGCGTTGCATTTTATTCTTTATTCAACTTAACTTTTTTAACTATAAAAAACAGTTGACTTTTTTTTTTTTTTTTTTCTTTTGTCAATTTATAAATTTTAACTATTTAATAATTGACATTTCTAAAAATTGACTAAAGAAAACATATTTAATTTGAGATATGACGTACCTTTTCCTCCGTGTTTTGGTATCGGTAAGGAAACATCTCCAATTTGGGACAACTTTTTATTCCCATTTTTTTTAAGGATGGCAATTCAGAAATGCAACTCCTCCGGTAAAAAATCCTCAGTTGTGGCAAATAACCCAAGAATATAGATTTCAATTGAGGGAACACATGATTGTCCTCCAACTCTTTTTCTATATCTGTATCTCTTGCAACCATTCCTTCCTTGGCATTTGACCCTCCTTCAACCTTAAATACCTCTTCCAAGGAGTCACACCAAGATATGTAAAGTTCTTCTATGTCGTGAAAACTTCCAAGCAATTTTGATGGAGCAACACTTAACAGTTCATTACAATTATGCACTTCCAACACCCTTAGTTTACAAACAGCATCTGTTGGAACCGTGCCATCCCATATCTCCTTCACATTGTTTTGGTGTTCTTTATACACAAAGCTCTCCAAACAAGGAAACTTGACCTGCAAAACATCAATCTTCTAACCTTATTAATAAAAGAATAAAGAAAAAGGAAAAATCAAAGAAAACTCTCTGTTAACATTCAAATCTTCATTTCTTTATAACCACTTCATCTGTACGAATATAGTAATACCATTTCATGCAAATACAAGCATGTTTGTATTTAAATGGGTCTCACATACCACATGCCAATATTTAGTTAGTTGGTAAACAGTTTATTCAACTTTGTAGTTTACTTAATGTTGTCTCCATATATAAAATTTTTAGAATCCCACCAAGCAAAAAAAAAAAAAAAACAAAAGAAAACAAAACGAACTCCTTTTATTGAGTTTCAACTACTGTCATAGGATATGTTTATTCAAAATGAAAAGGTATGATTATAACGAAACTAAGGAAACTTTTTGAAACTAGAAGTCGTTGTAACAAACTGCAATGTGGAATCAGATTTAAAATGTATCAAATTTACCATTAATCAAAATAATTAATCTTTAACAAATAATCTTTAATTAGAATCTCACTTGTGAATTAGTGATGAATCCTATCGAGAATAAACAAATCCAATGGAAAGATTTGTTCCTCCAAGAAACGCATCAAATGGTCAACTTGGGCCGGAGGAGAGATCTAACGAGACCCGAAGAACAGATTTGGGTCCACACTAACAATTGGGCTAAAAAAGTACTACGCCCCCACTATCCAACGAGACCCGAAGAACAGTTGCTAGTGTGGAACCAAATCTGTTCTTCGGTTCTCGTTAGAAAAAGTACTACGGCCCCACTATCACTCATCTAAGGAGACTATATTTTTGGAAAAGTTAATAGGTTGATGTATTGCGCAATTTGGTCTCTTTGGGGGTTGCGGTTGAAATGAAAAAACCACTTTTATCAACAGCTACTTTTCATAATTAAATTAGTTTTAATTTATTTTGTAACAATTATTTTTTAAATATTTTTATTGCTAATTTTTCAATAATACTCTTTAATAATAGAATATTACCATACTTGATAATAGTAACTTAATTAAAGAATGGGTGTAATTATCTTTATAAAAAATAAAAAGGTCATAATTGACTTAATTTGGTATCCATTAAAAATGCTTTTAATGGTTTCCAAACACAACTAAACTCAATTTTTCATAATAAAAGCGCGTTTTTAAAGGGTGGGCTAAACGGGCTCAAAATTTAATGGCACCAATTTATTTTATGTTCAACTGTAAGGTAATTTTGGATCAAAAGTTTAATACAATTGGATAGCAAGTAGTAGATGGCAGGACAACAATGTCAATGAGTGGGACTTGTAAGCACCAAATGAGTGACTTGTAAGTTGTAAAAACTATGGGTCAATGCAGATATGCAATGAGTCCTTTGTATTAAGTGAGGCCTATATATATAATATTAGCAATGGTCAAATTTCAAAAGTAGTATGTTAGGGGTGCATAAAATTTAATTTATTCTTAACCTTTTCTAATATATCATAATACCTTTTCTAATATATCATAATATTATGTATATATATATATATATATAAAATTCTTTTTCCTCTATGGAAAGATTTAACCAATAAAAAGTGCTTTGCTTTGCCAACTTCTGAAGACAGGAATAACGTCAAACTATATAACATTATAACTTGACTTAATCACATGGTCTTCTTCCGTCAAAATGGAGCAACTAAAATTTCATAAACTCTTTACGTAGTGTATGCGCGCTCATTTGAAGGAATCCTAGAAATAACCAAAAGCAAAAAAACAATATATAAATTTCAGTTTGGTTAATAAGATGAATCCTAGTAATAACGTTCGTGTTTGGTTCCATGCAATGCAGTCCAAAGGGAATTCAGGTGTTCTCTTGAATGATGGAAGGGAATGACCTGAATTTATAGACTGCAAGTAAGAGGGACATAATTAACTTTAGTCATTAATATTAATCAAGTATTCTTTGGTTTGCGAAATGAAAATCTACTACGATTAATTGTAATATGAACATTTAAATAACATTATTGGAAAATGGGTCTACGCGGAAGCTTTTAAAAATCGTTTATGGTCATATATTTGGCTATTAAAAATTTTATTCATTTCTATAAATGGTTTAGGGCTATGGGCTTTGTTGGGCTTCTGTTACTAAGAAGACCCTTAAATTCTTTAATTTAACAATTAATTAATACGTTTAATTTTTCATTCAAGTTTCCAATTCTAAGTTGAATTTGTATGCAATAAAGATTAATACTAAATGATTTAATTCAAAATAGTCTTGTAAGTAAGTGAAAAGAATAGACACGGATAAAATTTAATTCACATTGTGTAGGTGCAAATTTTTACACCCGAACACTTAAAGAAAATAATAAGCTAAAAATCAAGCACTTAGAATAAATGTAAATGAATCAAACAGCAGAAGAAATATTTTCAGTGGAATTCGATGATCTTTCATTCTCATTTAGGCTCCATTTATAAGCTTTTCTTCAGAGCTTTACACGAAGCCGTTTCTTGGCTTTTATTTTCAGATGTGGGCAATTATGTTTGCCGATCGTGCATATTATTATGGTGTGCGTTATGGAACTTTGGGCTTTGTTGAGACTGGGCCATTCACCCAGTTTTAATGCTGAGCAAGGCTTTCTACATTAGACCGGGCTGGTCCAGTATGTAATCTCCTTTGTTGGGCCTCCCATTATGGGCCTCCAAGTGCTTTGATTTGGTTTATGGGCTATTTCTTACTACTACGTGCTGTATTGCGATTGGTGGGATTCTGCTTAGTGACAAGCTACGAGTCACTATAAGTTTTAAGGTGTTTTACCTGGAGTTCCTTGGCCAATCTGATCCCTGCTAGTAGCGCCTCATACTCCGCTTCATTATTTGTGACTGGAAACTCCAGCCGGATTGACTGGTGGATTCTGGTCCCTTCGGGGGTTCTTATCTCTAACCCTGCTCCTGCTCCACTTTGGCTCGACGAACCATCGACATATAACTCCCAGCAGGGATCTTTTGTGATCATTGTTCTTCCCTTGGGTCAGTGTCCAATAGAAAATCTGCTAGCACTTGCCCTTTTTTTGCGGTGTGTGGCTCGTACCGAATGTCAAAGGGACTCAACTCGATCGCCCATTTGGTGATTCGACCTGAAATGTATGGTTTACCGAGAATGGCCTTGATTGGATGTGTCGTGGGGACTACTATCTGATGAGCCTCAAAATAATGCCGAAGCTTTCTTTTGGCCTGTACTAGAGCAAGAATAATCTTCTCTGCCAATGAGTATCGGCTTTTTGCATTAGTTACGGCCTTGCTGGAGTAGAAGACCGGGGTGCTGCTTTTTTCCTACTTCCCTTACCAAAGCCGAGCTGGTTGCTGACTGGTATACCGCTAGGTAGAGGTACAGTGTCTCTTCGGGTTCTGGAGCGGATAAAATTAGGGGATTTGCCATGTACTCCTTGAGCTTTACGAGAGCTTTCCTTTGCTCTGCCCCCCAAATGTCTCCTCTTCTTGCTTTGATCGCGTCAAAAAATGGTTTGCATTTGTCTGACAACCTGGATATAAAGCGGCTAAGTGCTACCACTCTCCCGGTGAAAACTTGGACCTCCTTCACGGTTCAGGGTTCCTGACTCTGTAGTAATTTTGCCAACTGAGTGGGACTTGCTTCTATTCCCCTCTTGTTCACCAGGTGACCAAGGAACTGATCTGAAGATACTTCGAACGAACATTTTGCTGGATTCAACATCATTCTGTGTTTTCTAAGAGTGTCAAATACATCCTGCAGGTGTTGTTGGTGGTCTTTTTTATCTGTACTTTTTACGACCATATCTTCTATGTAAGCCTCGACAGTTCTGCCGATCTGTTCCTTGAACATCTTGTTGATTAACCTTTGATAGGTTGCCCCTGTATTTTTTAACCCGAAAGGCATTACTTTGTAACAGTAGGTCCCACGTTCAGTGATGAAAGAAGTCTTCTCCTCATCTGAAGGATTCATCGGGATCTAGTTGTAGCCTAAGTACGCATCAAGGAAAGTTAGCTTTTCGTACCCGGTCGTAGCGTCTACCATCTGATCGATCTTGGGGAATGGGAAGCTATCTTTCAGGCATGCTTTGTTCAGGTTAGTGGAATCAATACATACTCTCCATTTGTCATTCTTCTTCTGGACGACCACCACGTTTGACAATCATTGAGGGTACCGAACTTCTTTGATGAATCCTGTTTCCAGAAGTCGATTGACTTCCTCAGCAATAATTTTATTTCTTTCGGGGGCAAACCTTCTTTGCTTTTGTTTCACCGGATGGTGGCTGTAGTCCACGTTCAGACTATGACAGTCCGTCCATGGGTCAATTCCAGGCATGTCCCAGTGATTCCAAGCGAAGATATCGACGTTCTGCCTTAAGATTCTTGTCAGCTCTTCTTTTTCCTGAACTGTCTAGTGAGCCCCTATGTAGGTTAACTTATGCTTGTCCCCTGCAACTATTTGCACAGCTTCCAGGGGTTCCTCGATTAGATGCTCCCCTTCTGACTTCTCCCTCTCCTCGGGTGGGGAGGAGTTCGGTAATTATTATTTTAGTAATTTCTTGCTCTTATCAGAGGGAGAGATCGTCGTGTGATAGCACTCATTTGCTGTTACCTGGTCCCCCCAAATGTCGATGACCTCTTGACCGTTCGGGCTTACGCATCTCATGACTTGATGCAGGGTTGATGGGACTCCTTCCATGTGGTGGATCCATCCTCGGCCCATTAGTAAGTTGTAAGTAGGGTGAATATCCACGATCACGAAGTTTTCTTTCAAAGACCTTTTAGCGGCAGTGACTGACAGTGTGACTACACCTGTGGGGCGGATCTGATCTGCGGCCAATTTTAACTAGTCGAACGTCCACTTTGTTATGATGTTGGCACTACTGCCTGGATCAATCAGCACTTGTTCAATCAGGAAGTTGGCCACTAGTAGGCTGACTACTAATGTGTCCTCATGCGGGTGTTGCACCCTTTTGAGGTCTCCCCTATGAAAAGAGATCTGTACCAGACTGGGTTTGCAATCAACGACATTGATTTCGCCAATCCTCCGCAACTTGTGAGCTTGCTTGAGTTGGATCCTGTAGGAATTTCTCGATTGTTCGTCCTCCTCCAGACGACCATAAATTGTGCTGATTACTAGAACAGGATGGCTTTCTACCGGAGCTTTTGGGGCTACTCGGGTTCGGTCTTGTTGCCTCTGTTGCCCCGAGGTGGCAAGGTAATCAGTCAATTTTCCCTTATCTATCAATGCTTCCACTTACTTTCGTAAGTTCCTACAATCATTGGTTAGGTGGTCGAAATCGCTGGGGAATGCACAGTGCTTACTTTGGTCTCTCTGTTCCATCGACTGCCTAATTGGGGGTGGGATCTGGAAGATGTTTCTTGCCTTGGTCTCGTGGTATAGTTTGGCTAATGTCACTTTGAGAGGTGTGGCCCCTTCAGCTATTCGGGACTTCTTCTCGGGGGCTCGTCCCTCGAGGGCCGGGGGTTCCCGACGAACCCTCGAGGTGCCCGTTCGTTCCTTCGGTCGATTCTCCACCATAACCAAGGTTGCACTCTGCTGTCTGGTTACTTCGTTTTCCTCGAGTCTAATGTAGTTTTGCGCCCGCAAATTCAACTCAGACATATTAGTTGGGGTTTTTTTTACCAAAGAAGAGTGGAAACGTGAGCATTGCACCATGGCTATCTTGAATGCTTCTATGGCTGTGTCTTGATTGCAATCTGGGATGCTCGAAGACTCCATGTTGAATCGGGTGAGGAAGGTTTGCAGGCCTTCTCCCTTCATCTGTCGAATTGTGAAGAGACTGGCAATGGTTTTCTTTTGCTTCTTGTTTCCATAATACTAGGCTAAGAATGAGACACATAGTGACTCGAAGTTTGGGATTGACTTGCATGGGCGATTCTTGAACCACTCTAGGGCCACCCCTATTAGACTAGACGGGAATATTTTGCACATGAATAGATCGTTGTGTGCCTCCAGTGTCATTTCCTGAGTATAATGGTTCAGGTGTTGGAGGGGATCTCCAGTCCCATTAAACTTGATGAACTTTGGCATCACAAACTTCCTTGGCCTTGCGACTTATTCTATCTCATCGGTGAATGGAGTCTTCACTATTGATGTAGTGAATTCCCTCGCCATATCCTCGGGCGTCTGGGCCTTCAACCCTTTGATTCGTTCGTCCATTTCCTTTTGAAGCCTGGCGATAAAGTCAATTCCTGTAGAGGGTTGATCGATCGACGGGACTCGTACCTCTTTTCTGCCTGAGTCAGCATCATCTGTCGGATGCACTTTAGTGGCTTGAGGTCTTCCCATGGTAGAATTTTCAACAATACGAGATTAGCTTGCTGTGTTGTTGGTGTCGCCCAATGCTCCGCTGACCTGTTGCCGCGGGATCCTTTGGGGAGGAGGATTATCGTGGGCAGCGGGGCCTAGCCCAGGGAGAGGATTTTTATTCGGTCATTCGAGTAGTTGGCCGACCTGATGCTGTTCGGGCAGTTGATCAACCAGCAGCTCCCTCTGCTGAACGTTTCCCTGAAGCTTTTCATTCTCTTCGCGTAGGGTATTAATTTGCACTGCACTGGCCTCCTGAGCTTGCCTCACTATGTTAATTTGTTCGGTGTTGGCTTCATTAGCCCGTCGAAAGACATCGAGCTGCACTTGCATCTCCTCACGTATTTTTTGCATGGTCTCCAACTGTTGTTGTGGTTGTCCGGCATCTGGTTCTGTTGCCATTCCGGATCGATGTCGCATGAAAGTGATAATGGAAAGTCTTTTTGTAAATGCTTCCCACAAACGACGCCAAAGTATAGGTGCAAATTTTTACACCCGAACACTTAAGGAAAATAATAAGCTCAAAATTAAGCACTTAGAATAAATGTAAATGAATCAGACAGTAGAAGAAATATTTTTAGTGGAATTCGATGATCTTTTATTCTCGTTTAGGCTCTATTTATAAGCTTTTCTTCAGAGCTTTACACGAAGCCGTTTCTTGGTTTTTATTTTTAGACGTGGGCAATTATGCTTGCCGATCGTGCATATTTTTATGGTGTGCGTTATGGAACTTTGGGCTTTGTTAAGACTGGGTCATTCACCCAGTTTTAATGCTGAGCAAGGCTTTCTACACTAGATCGGGCTCGTCCAATATGTAATCTCCTCTGCTGGGCCTCCCATTATGGGCCTCCAGGTGCTTTGATTTGGTTTATAGGCCATTTCTTTCTGCCACGTGCTGTATTGCGATTGGTGGGATTCTTTCCCTCCACATATTGCCACTTTTGTCATGTGCCTACTAGTAAAACGATACATGCTTGTAGGTGAGTAAAATTTAAAATAGTAATTAAAATTTAATTCTTTAAATTAATCACACTGATATATTTATTAATAATCAATGAATATAAATTGTCAAAATATATTTTCAAACTCCTAAAATAATATCAAAATCAAGACTATTTTTTATTTCAATTCACTAATATTTATTTTGGTAATGAATAATATTCAACAAATAAATGAAACTCTTTTTTAAAAATAAAATAATAAAGAGGTTATTTGAGTTTTATAGAAACTCTTCTAAGAAAATATAAAACTCATAATAAACAGGTAATTTGAGTCTTTTGTTTAAGATTTATTAAAAAATTTATTTTGTTATTGACCAACTTATATATTTGTCATATATATGTGTATATGTATATCTACCATAAATGTGGCCTAAATTTTTATAAATACTACTTCTTCTTTTTTCTTAGGTTAAAAAAAAAAAAAAAAAAAAAAGTACTCACAAAGAAATCATGTTTTGATGGTTTTAGTTCATTAAAAGAATTCTCCAAGTAACATAACTTCACTAAACATAAAAATAGAAAGTTCAAACATCATAATGATATAAGCCTGATAATTAAGGAGGCATTCTATATTTGTGTTTAATTGACATTCAATATAAGAATAATTTTTTAATTATGTACTTAATTAAAAATATCAGGGCAAATTAAGTTTTTAAAGATAAATGTATCTAGACCATAAAATTTCTTATTGAAAAAAACAATACTTTGATCCTCACAGGGCTTATACCATCTCAGCACATAGGTAATAAAATCTTGTTATGACACAACATATTTGACTGTTAATAAAAAATCAAAATAAAAATAATGGAAGTCATGTGGGCCCATTTAATTTTTGGATAACATTATTCTCTTTTATTTTTAACTAATCATGATGTGTCATAACAGCCACATATGTGATAATGATGGCATAGGCCTTCACCAATTGAGAAAATATTACCATGTAAGAGGAGCCGCATGCAAAATGGGCTAATACTTAAAGCCCATGCACTTCAGGTTCAAATAAGTTCAAGGATATGGATTTCGATAAATTGTTTTGGTTTATGGGTTTCGTGATTAGGCTTGCCCATTAGAGCCCAACTGCAAATATTATTCCATAGAAATCTCCCGAAAAAAACAAAACGCTTGTTTTAATCTCAATAAACTTGCATGGTACATGGGAACTCAAAAATGATAGTAAAGCAATAGCACAAATTCTATGTATTAAGAAATAAATTTATGCATAAAAGAACTGATTGAGCTAAAAAGAAGGAAAAATGAAAAATGTGAATGATGCATATATGTTTTATTGGAGTTAGGAAATGCTTACCTTGTAATTGAAGAGGGATTGTAGTTGGGGAATGTTGTCATCCTCCATTGCTTCTTTCTTGGACCCACAGAAACTTTTGAGATTTGGTAAATTTGTAAGATCCATTTCCTTTAATCGAGGGAAAACAATGATCTCCTCATCCACTACCTCATCTTTTCCTTCTCTTGTTTTAATTGCAATTATCTCTTCTATATGCACACAGTTTATTACTGTCAAATCTTGTAGCTGCTTAAGATTTCTTGCTATAGATGATGAGAATACATTTCTCAAACTATGACAGTCTTCAATGTGAAGAGATGTAAGGTTTGAATAGGCACCAATGTTAGGTCTGTGATTAGAATGTTCCTTTATGTTCAAACCTATGAGCATCAGCTTAGGTAATGACTCAAGAATCATTGATTTTAACCGAGGTAGTTCCATTGATGTTGCAAACCCTTTTTCAATAGTAAGCACTTCGACTGCTGACACCACCGACTCACACCCTACAACTTTGACCATTTCTAGATTCTGTAACCTTGGAATAATATTAGAGGGTATCACATTCGCCAGTTTCTGACAACTTGCTATCACTATCTCCCTTAGCTGCTGGAAGGATGATTCTTCTTTTGCTTCTGAAGTTAGGAATAATTGGTTATCCCATATCCATGTAATGCTTTCCAATTTTACGATTAGTAGTTCCTCCAATGCAGGGAATGAAACCTACAAAATTCATCAATCATCATATTACGATCAACAGATGTACATCATAACAATGAGCCCCAGCTCTTTACTTGATTAGTGTTGCTAGTAAATTTTACAAACAAGCTTCCTTCGCCTTCACTATTACAAGTGTTATATGGCAAACGTGTATATATATATATTACATCTTGAGTGTGGGAAAAGTAGATGTATATCTACCATAATTGTGCTTTAGATTTTTATAAATACTTCATTTTTTGTTTTTATTTCTTTTTTCTTAGATAGAAAAAAGGTACTCAAGAAAAGAATTATGTTGTGTGATGCTTTTATTTCGTTAAAAGAATACTTCAAGTAACATAACTTCATCCAAGCATAGAAACAGAAAGTTCAAGAAAGACATAAACCTGATAATCGAATTTTCTTTGCGTGATCAGATATCAGCTTTAAAGCCCAATCACGAAGTGGATTTTTATAAATTGACGAAAAGTAACATAACTTCATCCAAGAATAGATTTTTGTTATTGGGCTTCTGTTTCATAATATTGGGACTGTCTATTTGGCAGGTTACTTAATGTTTTGGGCCAAGTTCCTCTGTTGGGCTGGGTTTTGACCCATTACAGCCCAATTGCAAATATTACTCCGATCCATATATAAAATTGTTGGAATCTCCCCAGAAAAAAGAAAAAAAAAAAGCTTGGTTTTATCCAAATGAAACTTGCTGGTTTCATAGTAACTAAAATGCTAGTGAAATACTAGCATGAATTCTATGTTATTTAAGAAATAAAATTTTACTACCCAAAGAACTAAGTATTAAGAGGGTGAAATAAAAAACGTCATTGGCCACTTCAGATTTATTATTGTTATTTTTATGATAAATAGAAAAAGAAAATTATAAAAAAATGACACTTTGTTGTTCACACATCTGTGTCTATTTTTGCCAAAAAGATAATATTGGTCCTGACAAAAAAAAGTTGCATTAACAATTTATGCAAAGCTCTATAATTTTTAAATTCGCAGTATCTCACCAATAAAGTGGGTGAGATTTCACATTGCCACTTTTGTCATGTGCCCTTTTTCTACTAATTGGTTAGTGATTCTATGTTAAAGGATGCACGTGATATTGATATATATAAACAGTGATAGTGAGTCCAAACACTCCAACGGTGCCCCCAAGGCCCAAACTTTTGATGGTGTACTCCAAAGGCATATACCAGTTTTTGAAATAGGCTAATTATTATTTTTACAACAAGTATACTTCTAAGTGGTATATAGCGAGCAAATTTTCAATGAAATAAAATTTGTTTTGAGTGACAGAGCATACATTTTCATTAAATAAAATATGTTTGAGTGATAGAGCATACCTTTTCATTAAATAAAGCTTGTGTAAGGTCGGAAGTATTGCACTCTGTGCTTGACGTTTTCTTCCTATTGGCGCAGTAGATGCTTCTAAGGTTTGGCAGATCCCTCAACTTCATTTCCTTTAATTGAGAAAAAATAACTTTATCCTTTACTTCCCCATCATCATCTAGAATTATTTCTTCCATGATTTCGCATCTTGATATATATAATTTTTGGAGTTGTAGAAGAGCTCTTGCCGTGGATGGATAAAACAAAAATTTCAACGTATAACCTTCAACTATTAGCACACTTAATTTGCAAAAAGAACCCTGAGTTCGTACATTCCATTTTGGTCTACCAAGTAGATATTCCATGTCACTGCAGTCCTTAATTCGAAGATATTTCAAGTTAAGAAACCCTTTTCCGTCTCCATAGTGAAGCACATTCTTTACACCTTCCACTCTTTCAAAAAGAAGCACTTCAGCTTTCTCCATCAAAATATTGAACTCCTTCCTCAAACTAATATCATCAAGTTTCAAGATCCCTGCTCCGAAGTGTTTTTCATAATACGGAAAACCCCTTGTCCTCCCAATCGATATTTTGAATCTGTTCAAGGACTTAAAGCAGAGCTCATTGGGCAGTAGCATGCCATCTCCTATGTGAATTTGTAAAGTGGTTAAGCCTGTCAATGAATTAAGTTCATCAAGCCTTGCATTCCCTTCAACCCCCCATTCCCCAAAATCATGTGGAATGTACAGTTCTTCAATTTTGGATAGACTTTTTATGACACCTGATGGAATGATCTTGAGGTTTTTACATTCCCTTAAATCCAACCACTGCAAGTTAATCAATTGTCCTACTTCCACAGCCACCTCTTTCAGATCATAATCAACAATGCTTAGTATCAAAAGATTTCTTAGTTCCTTGAGAAAAGCTAGGTTCTGCAGTTCACAGTCATAGAGTCGCAACATCCGAAGGCTGATCAAATTTAAAGGTGATGATGGCAGCTGCACAGAACGCAAATCTAAAACTTCTAGCTTTTCCATGCCTTTAAAAAAATTATCTGGAACTTGAGGTTTACTATCGGTGTTGCATTCCAATACCAAGGTGTGTAATTCTGCACATTGTAACTCACAAGGAAGGTCACAAATTTGTTCGGACCTCAATGAGATTACCCTGCAGGATTCATATTCATCTCTCTCTGGCCACTTTCGGACATCTGTTTTTGCTAGAAATCCATTTTCTTTTGATGCAATTGAGATAGCAACATCTCGAATGATGTCGTGCATTTTAACAAAGTCCTTGCTTTTACCTTCTAATAGCAAATGAGATTTCTTCAGGTTATCAACCAACACACTTGTTCTATCTCTTGCTGTTTTCATTGGATATGAGTTGTCCATAAGAAACCTCATTCCCACTCCATATATCATCAAGTCATCAATCGGAATCTCAGCATCCTCTGGAAACAAAGAAGAGTGCAAAAGGCATGACCTAGCATCTGTATGCTCTAGATACTCGAAGCTCCACTTTATCCGTGAATACAACTCCTTGGTCACTCCCTTTATGTTATATCCCCTGCAATTTCTCAATTGTACAAGTGCATCATCCCATGTATGCTTTTGTTTCTGATCCCTTAGTGCTGCTCCAACTACAAGTATTGCCAACGGTAAACAACCACATTCTCTACACACTTCTTCGGCAACAGAATAAACTTCATGAGACGGTTCAATAAAATCTCCAACTGTTTTCCTAAACAGGTACCATGCTTCACGTTCCTGTAGAAGCCCAATTGGGATGTTTTCTTGAACCCCCATCCGACTGAACACATCTTCTTCCCTAGAGGTTAGCAAAACTTTGATATGATTATCGCTAGATGGGATTCCTATTTCCTCTAGGTTAATTTCGTCATTCCAAATGTCATCAATTATTATAAGGATTTTTTCCCCATTTTTTAATCTGTTGCACAGCTCCCCTTTTCTCCCACCTTCAGTATTTTTTTTGAATGAAAGTTCTAAACAGTCTGCAAGCTCTTCTTGAATTCCTTTCAAATCTGGTTTTTGGGAGAAGACTGCCTTGGCGACCTTATCAAAAAGCTTCTCTGTTTTAGCATGTTTGGCAATTTCTTCTGCCATTCTCGTCTTCCCACTACCTCCCATGCCATGTATTCCGATTTTGTAAATCATATCATTTTTCAACGCCTGTATGATCTGTTTACGAACGGATTCTCTGGATTCAAACTGCTCAAATTTTGTGGTAGCTGTGTACCAAATATCATCCAGAGGAGCAGGGCGTCCAACAGTATCAAACTTGCTGGCTTGCTCTATTAGCCCCAAAACATCAGTCAACTTCTTTTTACCTTCCTTACCAAGCCGATACCTTGAACGAACATCAAAACATGACTTGATGTTTTCATTGTTTGCCAATAATCTGTTCAGGTCTTCCTCCTTTTTATTCACCTCCGTTAGCCAATTCAAAACATCTTTCTCAATGACTTCTCCATTGTTCTTGGCTGTTTCAACTTTTCCTTCAATCCTCTCCTTCACACCTCTAAGATTCTGAACTTGAGCATCGAGATCATCAATATTTTTCTTGTAGTGAACCACATAACCAATTCGGCGGCCCATGGATGCCAAAAAGCGGTCTGTAAGTACCTCTACCATCTTTCCCACCACAGTATTAATGACTTCCATTTTCAACCTTTTTTTCCCTAAGACAGAAAATTAAATACTTACAGAGATCAACAACTGTTAATATTGAAGAAAAACTAAGAGAGATATATAGTTGGGGACGCGGCTCTAACAAGATTAATGGTTTTTTTTTTTAATTTTTTTATGTTTCCAACTCTAATTTTATTTTTTTTAATGCAACCAGAATAAAACGTATCTTATTTTGTTTTAGATATAAAAATAAAAAAAAAAAAATTTCTTTTTATTTGATTTAAATAAACTTTAATTTTAAATTTTTTTCAAAAAAACCATAAAACAAACTTATACATATACAAGTAGCCCAAGATCAAACTAAAAGATTTTGAACAAAAGGTAAGAGAGACAAAAGCCTTATAGCTTTGGAATCAAAAGTCTTCTTTCTTGGAACATGAAACATGGAAATTATTTAGGAATGCAATTAATCATGTATTTATAGGCATACATGATTTAGGATTGCAATCAATCATGTATATATAGAATACATAGAGACATATATATATCTATATCTATACTATTATTAAACGTGCAAAGTGTTTCAGTGTTTCAGTATTTCAGTATTTATTTATTTATATAAAAAAATATTTATTAATTGATATAAAAATAGTTTTTGTAAAAATAATTTCTATAAAACTTTAAAAATTACCTAATAAAATCAATCACATTCTATATAAAACTCTTTTTTTAATTATTTTTTATATTATCAGAAAATGACACATGTCATCATCCTATTTATCTAAGAAGTTTATAAATAGAGGCATGAAGGAAGGAGGAAGGGGTACAGAAATTGAGAATTCTAGAAATCCAGAATTCTAGAATAAAATACAGAAGCTCTGCCAAAGAGTTTCAATATTTATTTATTTATATAAAAAATATTTATTAATTGATATAAAAAGAGTTTTTATCTATATCATTTAATAAATATTCACAAATTAGCTTTTATTATGAGTATCTTAATAAAATTAAAACTAATTAGACAAGTATATATTTAAAGAAAATAAAATAATTTCAATAAAACTCTATTACAAATTACCTATTTTATTATCAATAAAACTCTATCAACAAAGATATATTTAAAGAGCTTGTATAAAACTCTAACACGAATTACCAATTTATTAATTTATCATGAGTTTTTTAATAAAAGGAAACCTAATTAGACAAGTATTATTAATATAAAAAATTATTTATTAACTGATACAAAAAGAGGTTTTTAAAGAGTTTTTAAAACACAAATTACCTATTTATCTATTTATTTTGAGTTTTTTTTACTAAAAGTAAATCTAATTAGACAAGAATTATTAAAATAAAAAATATTTATTAATTGATATAAAAAGAGTTTTTAAAAGAGTTTATATTAAACTCTAATACAAATTACTTATTTATTTATTTATTACAAGTTTTTTAATAAGAAAAAATTTAATTTACCTAATAAAACCAATTACATTCTATATAAAACTCTTATTTTTAGTTTTTTTTATGGATAATTATAATTTTTAAGAAATTCTAAAAATTACCTAATAAAATCAATCATATTCTATATAAAACTCCTGTTTTTAGTTATTTTTTATGGATAATTATCACAATATAACCGGCCCGGCCCAGTTATGATTATGTCATTATTAGAAAATGACACATGTCATTATCCTATTCATCCAAGAAGCTTATAAATAGAGGCATGGAGGAAGGAGTACAGAAATTGAGAATTCTAGAAATTTAGAATTTCAGAGTAAAATACAGAAGTTCTGCCAAAGAGTTTCAGTATTTATTTATTTATATAAAAAAATATTTATTAATTGATATAAAAAGAGTTGAATTCTAGAGTAAAATACAGAAGTTCTGCCAAAGAGTTTGAGTATTTCAATATTTATTTATTTATATAAAAAAATATTTATTAATTGATATAAAAAGAGTTTTTATCTATATTATTATTAGATGTGTAAAGAGTTTCAGTATTTATTTATTTATGTAAAAAAATATTTATTAAATAATATGATAAAACGCTAAAATCTACATAATAAAATTTAAATTAACCTATTTATTATTATCAATTTTTTAATAAAATAAATCTAATTGGACAACAATTATTAATATAAAAAATAGGGATAATTTCACTAACACCCCAGTAGTTTGGCCAAATATGTGTCAGACCACTTTTTACATGTAAAAAGCCATTTTTACCCTTTGACTTTGGTTTGACCCTGACTTTGGTCTACCCTCATTTTTTTTAATCTATTTTTTTACAAATATCAGTATTAAAAGAAAATATTGCCCCTTAAAAATTTGTAAATTTACAAATTATATTATATATACAGGCAGACATATATATACTCATATATACACACACAGACATATATATATATATACACACACACACACACAAGCATAACACCACCACCAATCGCCGTCGATCGTAGTAAAGAGGACCTCCAACACGGCTGGTGCTGCTGTTTTTGCTGCCAAACCTCATTACAGTTTACAACAACTTCACTTCAAAATAAAATTCTTTTTTCTTCTTAAATTTTTTATTTTTATTTTCTTTGTGTGTTTGTGTTTAATCCCTTTTTGATTTTTGGTTGTCATTTTCATTTGGGTTTGGAGGATTAGGCTTAAAAGAGGAAGTCAAGAACGCACCATACGTGAATTTGGGGTCACTCTGTCTATGTCACTGTTACATTTAATCCATTTGCTTTCCATTTCTCTCTTCCATTGCCTTACTCAACACAGCAAGAATAATGTATGGTTCGGGTATTGACTTCTGTTCATAGACTTTATATAATCTATCTATGGAGCTATCTACAGGATCATCTACTAATTTTCACATCTCTCTCTATATATATACACACATTACACACAGAGAAAAGGGTTCAATTCACCTCACTTCACCCAATTCAGAACTTCTTAGCAAATCCATTCCTTCACATAGACAAAATTCCGATGAACGCCACTCTTAATCTGTCATTCAACAATTTCACCGGAGAGATTCTGGAATCACCTGTTTTCTTCAACCAGGAAACGAAATCATTTTCCGGAAATCTGGAATTGTGCGGTAGTTCACTCAGGAAATTATGCCCAATTCCTTCCACCAACTCTTCTCTGCCCAATGTCTCTGCACCAACCATTTCTCCGCCGGCAATTGCAGCGATCCCGAAGACTTTAGATTCAACTCCAGCGAGCACTTCACCCACGTCAATAAAAGGTAAAGTACTCTTATTTTTTAGTATTTATAGAAATACAGACTACCTTGCCAATTAAGGGGTAAATAACTAATTCGTCGCGGCCACCCACACAGACATCCGCCGTCGCCGTCGCTGCCACCACCGCCCACACAATCCTAACCCAATACCCATCAGAGGATTGGTTCCTTAACTTGTCACCGGAATCTGAAACTCTCCACCACCAAAGCCCTCTGTTTTGTTCGCCGGAAGTTGCAGAGGTTCAATAACCCAGTTCTTACTTCATCATCAAACCAATAGCAAGCTCTCTCACCGGCGACAAGCACTCATCCTCGCCGTCGCCGCCCTAAACCATGTTGCCGCTTCTGTCGCCTGAAGTTTCTGCTGTGAACCACGCCACCGCTTCCAACCCCCGCCTCAACCTCACCTGACAACAAAAATGAGTTTGGGTTATGCAACCACAGTCGCCGGCGGCACCACCACCACCATCACCCCATCATCACCGACCACCAACCACCAACCACCAACCACCAATCTCTCTATACATTTTCTCTCTCTTCTGCAACACACCACCCACCACCAAAAAAGCCTTGACTTTTGGAACCACCACCCACCACCACGACGATGGCCAACAGTTCCATCCACCCGATGCTCATTCGAAGAGGGGTTGACATTGTCGGAGAGATAATGAAGTTTAGGGATTTTATTTGTGGTATAACTGTCAGGGGTATAATTGTCTTTTAACTAATCTGATATTTTGAAATAATGTTATTAAAAAATAGGGGCAAAGTTGTATTTTCATATGTTTTTAACGGAGACTGTGATGGAAAATCGAAAATAGACCTAAGTAATAATTATTTTCGAAAGATATTTCAGACTGATATTTGGCCAAACTACTGGGGGTGTCAGTGAAATTATCCTTAAAAAATATTTATTAATTGATATATAAAAGAAAATAAATTTTATATAACTCTACTATGAGTTTCTTAATAAAATTAAATCTAATTAGACAAGTATATATTTAAAGAAAATAAAATAATTTCTATAAAACTCTATTACAAATTACCTATTTTATTTTCCATAAAACTCTATCAAAAGAGTTTCTATAAAACTCTAACACAAATTACCTGTTTATCTATTTATTATGAGTTTTTTAATAAAAAGAAACATAATTAAACAAGTATTATTAATATAAAAAATTATTTATTAACTAATAAAAAAAGAGGTTTTAAAAGAGTTGTTAAAAAAACTCTAACACAAATTACTTATTTATCTATTTATTATTAGTTTTTTAATGAAACTAAATGTAATTAGACAATAATTATTTAAATAAAAAATATTTATTAATTGATATAAAAAGAGTTTTTAAAAGAGTTTATATTAAACTCTAACACAAATTACCTATTTATTTATTATAAGTTTTTTAATAAAAGAAAATCGAAGTAGACAACAATTATTAATATAAAAAATATTTTTAATTGATATAAAAAATAAAATAATTTTTCTAAAATTCTACCACAAATTACCTTTTATTATGAGTTTTTTTATAATAAAAGCTAATCTAATTAGATAGGAATTATTAAAATATAAAAATATTTATTAATTCATATAAAAAGAGTTTTAAAATATTTTCTATAATACTCTAACACGTATTACAAATTACAATTTTTTAATAAAAGAAAAATTAATTTTCAGAGTAAAATACAGAAGTTTTACCAAAGTGTTTCAGTATTTATTTAATTATATAAAAAGATATTTATTAATTAATATAAAAAAAGATTTTATCTATACTACTATTAAATGTGCAAAGAGTTTCAGTATTTAAGTATCTATTTATAAAAAAATATATTTATTTATTGAATTTAGATAAAAAATATATATATATATATATAATCCTCTTCTTTTCATACTTTTTTTCTTTTCTTTTGGGGATGTTGACAAAAAATATAATTTCTTCAAAAAAATATTTTTTTTTTGGGGTTTTTTTTTTTCATGTCAAAAGAGATAATTTTTGGTTACTTTTTATTTTTTTTCAGTCCAGTCAAAAAAGTTAATTTATTGAACATAAATTTTTATTTCTTGGTCCCGTAAAAAAAAAAATTATTTAATTTTTTTTTTTTTTTGTCTTGTCAAAAAAAAACCTAAAATAATAAAGATTAGAGATAAAGAAAAATAAATCTAAAATGACAGATTTATCATTTAAAAAGTAATAATTATTTACTTATAAAGTTAGCATTAGAATTACTGTTTCATTTAAGATTGTAGTATAAACGTTGAAAAGTGGAGTAGATAAGGTAATATAATAATGATACAACTTTGTCCAATACTAAAAAAAAATAAAATAAAATAAAATAAAATAATTATAAACCCCTTTTCAATTATTGTGGTAACCAACGAAGTAACGGTGTTGATCAGTCCAATCAATAAAATTTTAATTATTTTCTTCAATTTTTGTTATCATTTATGTTTCATAAATCTAATAAAAATAGTAAAGGTGGTTTTTAAAAATCATATGCCTATAAAGCCAACATTTGAATTTAATCTGTAAGTTAACAAATGTTCATAAAACACCATAGTATAAATTACTACATTCAATGCCTAAGCAATAATCTAAATAAAAATAATTTTTATATTAATTAAAAATAAAAAATTTGAAATCAATATTTCTCTTAAAAAATTTCAATCCTAATAGTATGCTTGTACAAAAACAAAATAGACAATTAGTAAATTTTTCCAAATTAAAAGACATTATAAATCCTTACTCAAATTTCCTAAAAAATGAAATATTTGTACAACAATATTAATGAAGCAATGTTTTTGATCAGTCCAATTAATAAAATTTTGATTATTTTTTCAATTTTACTTCATGATACTATATTACATATTACTATACTCAACGCATGTATAATAGTAACCTAAATAAAAATGATTTATTATTATTATTAATTGAAAGTAAACTTTGAAATCATTATTTCTTTTTAAAATTTTCAATCCTAAAAATAGACAGTTAGTAAATTTTTCTAAATTAAAAGAAATTATAAATCCTTACAAAAAAATTCTAAAAAGAATTAAATATTAGGGATGGCGATAAGATAATATACTGCTAATGAATGAAGTAATGGATTCAATTAATAAAATTTTGATTATTTATTTCAATTTTACATCATCATTTATGTTTCATAAATCTAATAAAAAATTAGTAAAGGTGGTATTGAAAAATCATATCCCTTATAAACTGAACATTGAATTTCATCCCCAAGTTACTTTTTATGTTCATAAAATACCATTGTGTAAATTAGTACACGCAATACATATGTAATTGTTAGAAATTAAACTTTATTTTATTCGGTGTTTTATATTTATGTGAGTTTTTTATTGGAGTTAGTGGGGGCATGAGAATTACAACTAGTAAATGGTCATGTTAGTGGGTTAGTGGGAGTTTTGCCTACTAAATAGTCATGTTAGTGGGTTAGTGGGAGTTTTGTCTACTAAATGATATGTTAGTGGGGTTTTAAGTTTCATTTACATTTATGTTTTGAAGCCTATATAAACCCATGCATTGTACTCATTTTCTATCAAGTGAAATAAAAAGGATTTTCCTCCATTTCTATTCTCTTCCAAATAGTATAGTGTTGTGTGTGTAACTAGGCCACTATTTCCAACAAAGTGGTATCAGAGCTAGTTTGTGAGAGAGAGAAGAAATGGCAAACAATTCGGTTCCATTTCAAATGCTTCGATTCACCAAAGATAACTATGAAAATTGGTGTATCCGTATGAAGGCAATTTTGGGAGCACAAGATGTGTGGGAAGTTGTTTCCAAAAGTTATGATGAGCCAGAAGATGAGGCAACTTTGTCTCAAGCCGAAAAAGATGTTTTACAAGCCATGAGAAAGAAGGACCAAAAGGCGGTGATGACCATCCATCAATGTTTGGATGATGGAATGCTACAAAGAGTTGCTAGTGCAGAAAATGCAAAGCAACTATGGGAGATTCTTCAAAATTCCTTCCAAGGAGTTGATAAAAGTGAAGAAGGTTCGCCTCCAAACGTTACGGGGTGAATTTGAAGCATTGCATATGAAGGAATCTGAATCAATTTTAGATTATTTTTCGAGGGTCCTGGCTATTGTAGATCAACTAAGGAGATATGACGAAACCACCATGACTGATACAAGGGTCGTTGAAAAGATCCTTCGGTCGTTGGATTCCAAATTCAACTACATTGTTGTAGCCATTGAAGAGTCAAAGGATTTGGATTCCATGACTGTTGATCAACTCATGGGTTCGTTGCAAGCTCATGAAGAAAAAGTGGTGAAGAAACAAGAAGCATTGGAGCAAGTGCTACAAACAAAGTTTTTGCTGAACGAAAGAGACGAAAAACATGGAAGAAATCAAAGGGGCCGAGGACGTGGAAATGCACGTGGCCGAGGAAGAGGAAGAGGCCGTGGAAGAGGAGAAAGAAGCGGTCAACACACAACCAACAATGAAGAAAAAATCCATGACTCACAACAAATAAGAGGTCGTGGTAGAGGAAATTACTCAAGGTCATATGGAAGGAGGTATGATAAGTCTCAAATTCAATATTATAATTGTCAAAAGTATGGTCATTATGCTTCGGAGTATAGAAATGTTGCTAACGATGTTGAAGAAAAGGCGAATTATGTTGATGAAGAAGTGGAGCCTACTTTGTTGTTAGCATACAAATGTGAAAGGAGTGATCAAGAAGATGTGTGGTATCTTGACACCGGTGCTAGCAACCATATGTGTGGTAGCAAAGAGAAGTTCGTTGATATTGATGAATCAATAAATGGCAAGGTAACATTTGGAGACTTATCACAAATTCCGGTAAGAGGGAAAGGTAAAATATTGATTCGTTTGAGGAATGGGCATCATCAATTTATCTCTAATGCTTATTATGTGCCTAATATGAAGAACAATATTTTGAGTTTGGGACAACTCTTAGAAAAAGGCTACAATATTTCCATGAAGGATTGTAGTCTTTCGATAAGAGACCCATTGGGTAATTTGATTACCAAGGTTCCAATGACAAAGAACCGGATGTTTTTGCTAAATATTCAAGCCGACGAGGCTAAATGTTTGAAGGCTTGTGTTAATGATTTAACTTGGCTTTGGCACTTGAATTTTGGAGGATTAGAGTTGTTGGCCAAAAAGAAGATGGTGAAGGGATTGCCTTTCATTAGCAATCCAAATCAATTATGTGAAGGATGTCTCGTTGGAAAGCAATCAAGGAAAAGTTTTCCAAAAGAAGCTACCACAAGAGCTACGGCGCCACTACAACTTATCCATTCGGATATTTGTGGTCTAATTTCTCCATCATCATTTGGTAAGAATAATTATTTTTTATTATTCATTGATGATTTTAGCCGAAAAACATGGGTGTATTTTCTTAAACAAAAATCGGAGGTGTGTGAAATTTTTAAAAAATTTAGAGCACTTGTTGAAAAACAAAGTGGCTATGATGTAAATGCTCTTCGATCCAATAGAGGTGGTGAATTCACATCAAATAATTTCAAAAAATTTTGTAAAGAAAATGGAATTCACCATCCTTTAACGGTTCCGAGATCTCCCCAACAAAATGGAGTTGCAGAAAGGAAGAACAGAACCATTCTCAATATGGCTCGAAGCATGTTGAAAAGTAAGGAAATGCCTAAAGAATTTTGGGCTGAAGCGGTTGATTGTGCGGTGTACTTGTCCAATCGGTGTCCTACTAGAAGTGTGCAAAACAAAACACCACAAGAAACATGGAGCGGAAGAAAGCCAAGTGTCTCTCATTTACGGGTTTTTGGGAGCATTGCCCATGTGCACGTGCCGGATGAAAGGAGGACCAAGTTAGACAACAAAAGTGAAAAAATGGTGTTCATTGGCTATGATGCAAATTCCAAAGGCTACAAGTTGTACAATCCAAGCAATGGGAAGATTGTCATTAGTAGAGATGTTGAATTCGAAGAGGGAGCCACATGGGATTGGAACACTCCAAATGAAGATTATAATATTTTTTTAATTTCTGATGAGGAGTAAGAAAATGAAGGCATGGAGCAGCCCATTTCTCCACCAACATCACCTCCACCGCCATCAATTCAAGATCAATCAACTCCATCATCATCAAGTTCAAGTGATACACCACCACTTCGCATGAGGAGTCTTCGTGACATATATGACGAAACAGATGAGGTAACGGAAAGGTTAGGTGATCTAACACTTTTTTGTTTCTTTGCGGATTGTGAACCCGTAGGATTTGAAGAGGCGGCACAAGACAAAAAATGGAGAAATGCTATGGATGAAGAAATTAAATCCATAGAGAAGAATGACACATGGGAGCTTGCTACACTTCCAAAAGAGCAAAAGGCAATTGGTGTCAAGTGGGTGTATAAAGCAAAGAACAATGCAAATGGTGAAGTTAAAAAATATAAAGCAAGATTGGTCGCCAAGGGGTACAACCAAAAGCCCGGAATTGACTATGATGAGGTATTTGCACCCGTAGCTCATTTGGAAACAATTAGATTGTTAATTTCTTTGGCAGCCCAGAACAATTGGAGAATCCACCAAATGGATGTGAAATCGGCTTTCTTGAATGGGTTTCTTGAAGAAGAGGTGTATGTTCAACAACCCATGGGCTATGTTGTAAAGGGGCAAGAAAACAGAGTCTTGAAATTGAAGAAGGCTTTATATGGCTTGAAGCAAGCACCAAGAGCGTGGAATAAGCGAATTGACAAATATTTTCAAGACAATAATTTTTCAAAGTGCCCATATGAACATGCTCTTTACTCCAAAGTAAGTGAGAGTGGAGATGTATTTTTTGTTTGCTTGTATGTGGATGATTTAATCTTCACAGGTAGCAATCCAAAAATGTTTGAAGATTTCAAGAAGGTTATGGCTCGAGAGTTCGAGATGACAGATATTGGCATCATGGCTTATTATCTTGGCATTGAGGTCAAGCAAATGAAGGATGGAATTTTCATTCACCAAGAAGGCTATGCTAAGAAAATTCTTAAGAAATTCAAGATGGAAGATTGTAAATTGGTGAACACGCCCATGGAAGTTGGAATTAAATTGTCAAGAGATGAAGATGGAGAGACGATGGATCCAACATTTTTCAAAAGTCTTGTTGGAAACTTGAGATACTTAACATGCACAAGGCCGGACATATTATTTGCGGTTGGGCTTATTAGTCGGTTTATGGAAAGACCCACCATAACTCATTTCAAGGCGGCTAAGAGGATTCTTCGTTACATCAAAGGTAGCCTTGATTTTGGATTATTCTATTCATTTTCTAATGATTTCAAGCTTGTGGGTTATTGTGATAGTGATTGGGCCGGAGATTTGGATGATAGAAAAAGTACTTCGGGCTATTGTTTTTTTCATGGGAAATACTGCTTTTACATGGTGTTCAAAGAAGCAACCCATTGTCACCCTCTCAACTTGTGAAGCAGAATATGTTGCAGCCACTTCATGTGTTTGTCAAGCAATTTGGTTGAGGAATTTGTTGAAGGAATTACACATGCTACAAGAAAGTCAACGGAGATTTTTGTGGACAACAAATCAGCAATTGCTTAGGCCAAGAATCCGGTGTTTCATGAACGAAGCAAGTATATTGATACAAGATTTCATTTCATTACAGAATGTATAACTGAGAAGGAGGTGGAACTCAAGTTCATCAAGTCACAAGATCAAGTTGCGGATATTTTCACCAAACCCCTCAAGTTTGCAAATTTTCACAAGTTTAGGAGTTTGCTTGGAGTTGAAAAAAAATCAAGTTTAAGAGGGGGTGTTAGAAATTAAACTTTATTTTATTTGGTGTTTTATATTTATGTGAGTTTTTTATTGGAGTTAGTGGGGGGCATGAGAGTTACAACTAGTAAATGGTCATGTTAGTGGGTTAGTGGGAGTTTTGCCTACTAAATGATATGTTAGTGGGGCTTTAAGTTTCATTTATATTTATGTTTTGAAGCCTATATAAACCCATGCATTGTACTCATTTTCTATCAAGTGAAATAAAAAGTATTTTCCTCCATTTCTATTCTCTTCCAAATAGTATAGTGTTGTGTGTGTAACTAGGCCACTATTTCCAACAGTAATAACATAAATAAAAATGAATGACTTATTTTTTATTATTAATTTAAAGTGAAACTTTGAGACCATTATTTTTCTTTAAAATTTTCAATGTTAATAGTATCTTTGCACCAAAAAAAAAAAAAAAAAAAAAAAAAAAAAGAGTAAATTTTTCTCAATTAAAACACATTATAAATCCTAACTCAAATTTTCTAAAAAATGAAATACTGGGGATAAATGAAAGACAATATTGTGCTTACAAATGAAGAAATTGTGCTAATCTGTTCAATTAATAAAGTTTTGATTTTTTTAAAAAAATTTACAACATCATTTAAAATTTTGCAAGCAATTATATCTATAATGTCTCTCTCTTCAATCTCTCTGTCAGAATATATTAAAATATATTATCACTATATTTTATAATATATTTTAACCTTTGTATAGGATTACAATATATATAGTTACCTTATGCATATAAGATTACAGTTACCTTATACATGTAAGATTACTTATTCATTACACATAATTCCTCCTATATAAATTCTTCTTGTATACAAGGTTTCACACATGGATACAATATAGAGTTTTACTCTCACTCTCTCTCTCACTCACGCTCTTTTCTAACACTCCTCTAAAACAAGCTAAGGACTTTTCTTTATATATTTATATTGTTTGTGCAAATAAAAATTGATAAGAACTCTCAACTCTACAAGAATTCGAGATGTGGAGATCGAGATTAATGCAAGAAATGGACTTGGAGCTAAGAGAAGGAACTGGATACCTTTGGTTTGCAATTAATATTCAAATGCTAGTTTTTGGGAAGTTACCTGTGAGATTGGAGTGAGTGATGGCCATTGTTTTGAGCTTCTTCAAGTTTCCGAGAATTATTGATGGACCTCCAGATTGGCCGATGGTTTAAATTTTTTGACGGTAGAAAAATACATTCTTTTTCATATAATATATTAATAAAAAATTAATAAATTAATTCAATAAAAAATACCTTCTCTGTCATGTAATATACTCATGAAAAATTGATTAAATCATTTTTAAAATTTTACCTAAGATTTTTATTTAAATAATTAATTTCAAAAGTTAAAAATAAATTTATGCAAATTTAATGAGGAATACGTCATCAAATTAGTATGAGTCTATATTTGGTTGAGCCAAATTATTCTAATTAGGATTGAAATTTTATGATATTACAATCCCACCAATCTAATTCCAAATTCACTGCATGGATAAACTTTAGAATCCAAATGTAATTTAATTACAATTAAAATTTTATTGTTTGAATAAAAACATTGATTTGGAATAGATATTTATATAGACAGATATATGATGTATAAATAATTATATGAACACATATATAACATATTTGACAAATTTGAATCAAGATTGAATTAGTAAATATTAATGTATCAATAAAACTTTGAGGAGGTAACTTAATATGCAGTCTAATAAGAATTTTATTTTTTAAATATGTAATTCCACTATGTATCACCCACAGCCTTTATCTGGAATATTATTTTTTGATATTTTTTATATTTTGTATGATATCTCTAGCCAAAAGGAAACTGCATGGAATTTTTTTAATATATTTATCAATGAAATAAAATCAAATAAATAAATAGCCAAAACTATTTAAGACACTCATATTTTTAATAATCAGTCACTTTTTGTCTTTCTATTTGACGTCTTTTCAAAAATATTATTTTCTTTGTTATACTAAATAATTAAAATTAAATTTTGATGATTAGATTTTACCAATTCTATTGGCCATATAATATAAATTTCAGTCATAAGACAAGTTTTATTTAACAAAATATCATTTGGAATTATCATCACCTCAATAACATGTAGCTATGAATATTATTATTATTATTTTTTGTATATTGGCTCCCAAATTTTAAATAACTTTTTCTCTTTCTTGTAGAAATTAATTAATCAAGTACCTTAATTGGTGTATGGAAGATTGGAGCTTCTTTTTTTTTTTTTTTTTTTTTTTTTTTTTTTTTTTTTTTTCTATTATTTATTTATTATAGAGGGGCACAAGATATATATATGTGACCCACGATGACACGATATATTATATAAATATAAATTTAATTATATTGGGTAATATGCTGCTGACCACAACCACATCTATTACAGTTTTTTTCTTCTTCTTCTTCTGTTTTTTTTTGCCATTGAATTACCATTCTTTATGCATTTACTCCCCTTTATCTCGTTTCTTATCATTTTTAAATATCAAATAATCCTATATATATATATATATATATATGTATACATACATATACATATATATAGAAATATTGAATTTTTTATTGGGGGTAGAGTGAGCATGGTAGAGAGACGGGTGGTACGTTGGGTTTGTTTTGGTATTCCAAATCTTTCATTGAATTATGGAATTCAAATTGTTGACTTGGGAGGTTTAGAATTACAATGCAATCCTAATCCCAATTCAAAATTAGTTTGTTACCATCCAAACAATCGATTTGGAATTGGGACTTTCAATTTCAATTCTAAAGCTCCAATACAATGTTGCCATTAGGGGGTGGCAAATTATGATACGATCCGTCCGTACGACTCGAATACGATACGAGATAAACGGGTTTGGGTTATAAATAGGTTGACAAGATTAATTTGTTTACTTAACCGTGTCAGGTTAGGGTTGAGAGGTTCAGCCTGTGTAACCCGTTTATGACTCATTTAACTCAACATATTATAACCATAAATATGATTTATATAATATGTTGCATGTTTAAACCCAATTACCATGGATAGTTAAGTCATTTCAACATAAACCTTGTCTATACCTTATGAATTATTTTTTTATTATGAATATTTGAGTTAATTGTGACAAAAATTTTCTATTATTTGATTAAATATTAAATGTCTCATTTTAAAAAATAGGTTATTAAATGGGTTAACACGATTACTCGTTTAATAAACAGATCTTGTTAGTGTTACAAGTCACATAATTTTGTACCCACAAATTAAAAGGCCGCCCTCCTCACAAAATTTCCTGAGTCCGTCACTGCCTATATAGCTTGACATTAAACAAAATATTGTTTAACCCTAGCATGTCTTTCAACATCATTCAATCCGTTCAACGAAAACTTTTGGGAAATTAAGATTGTACCCCATTAAAAGGAAAAGTTTTTATTTAACGGAAAATATTTTAAAGGTTGCCCCAAAAACTCTAAAGTTGTTATGAGATCAAGAGCTTGACGATCCAATATTTAAATAAAATTTGATTAAAAAAATTATATGAATAATAAATTATTGTGCAAAAAAAATTATGTGAATTTGAAGAACTATATTATAAAATAGGAATATTAAAATTCTTAAATAGATTTTTAATATGTTCCTTATCAAGTAGAATATGAAAAATGAAATCGATGTTCTAGCTAAATGAAATCACAAATTTAAGTCTAGGTGGTCATGAATTTAAGTGTTCACATTCACATTTGTTCTCTCATTCTAATGTGCAAGTTTGCAAAATTGAACACATTAGTATGTTATATTCCTTTTCCACATGTAAGACGGGTTCATATTTAGGGGATGATGTTAGAAACTGACATACATTATCAAATATATTTCTTAATAGTTTATTATAAATCTAACACAACCCACTCTAAAAATAATTAAAATGTTTACATGGCTGTTGGCGGCCAAATTCACTTAGACCAGGATTGATATTGACCCATCAATATTTGAACCAACGCCCATTTCCCACCCTACCTCTAATAAAATCAGGGTATTATTAAGCTAAATTTACCTTTTTACGCCCAAATATTTCAGAATAAAGATATCAAAATATGTCTTATAATGAAAAGACTAAATTACTGAATACTTCAGGATTTTTGTTCACAACCTTACCCGCTGTCACCGCCCCAACCAAATTAACCACCTCTCTTCGACGGACCGACCACTGTTGCCAGTCACTTGCCACCACCACCATCCCTCTCCTCTCTCTTTCCGTTCTCTCTCCTCTCTACCTCATCTTTTCTCCACCCACCGATCCAAGTTTCATAAAAATCATAAACAATTTTTACACTCAACCATGTTCAAAACTCATTTTCAAAACAAATTAAGCTCTATCAAGGCAGCATATGATATCGAGAGAGCTACACATCCGTGTATGCCTAGGGAATATTTGTTTGGAGAAACTAAAAGAGATTTATAGTTAAAGATTTGTTTGGAGAAACTAAAAGGGATGTTACCTCTAACAAGCTTGAAGATTTGTTTCGACGGAGCTAGTACGGTGTCTCAATTCGTCCACTAACACAGAGTCTGATTTCAAACAAGAGGTGGATCAGAAAGACATAGAAGACTTAAAGCAGCAGTTGCTTACTATCTAAGTTATAAAATGCAATTGGCTGTGAAGATCCACAAACATACCCCATCTGCCTTTAAACTTACTTTGATCAGATTTTTGTATTTGAGTTTTTTTTTTTTTTTGAAATGAAATTAATCTTTAGGGGAAAAAAATGAAATTAATCCTTTCTTGCTGTGAAAAAAAAAAATGTTAATTTGGAGTGTTATGTCACCGATATATGTTTATAAGGAACATTTTTAATTCACCAGCTACCTCCTTTTAAATTTTTCCCCATCTTTTTTAATTCTTTTTTTTTCCAAAGGAAAGCATCAACTGAAGTAGAGAGAGAGATTCACAGGGACTTTACCTCTAGCAAGCTTAAAGATTTGTTTGGACCGCGCTAGTAATGCGCCTTAATTCCACCAACACACCAAGAAATGGATCCGATCAGAGAGACATATATAAATCTGAATGCAGCAGATGCATTTAATATATAAGTCATGAGCCCAGATTGCATCTACCTTTTTTTTTTTTAGTAGAGGTTTCAAAGTGCTTTCTATTGCCTGTTAGTACTGAAGAAACTAAAAGAGATTTATAGTCGAAGATTTGTTTGGAGAAACTAAAAGGGATGTTACCTCTAACAAGCTTGAAGATTTGTTTGGACAGAGCTAGTAAGGTGTCTCAATTCATCCACCAACACACCAAGTCTGATTTCAAAACAAGAGAGGGATCAGAAAGACAAAGAACACTTAAAGCAGCAGATAGATGCTTACTATATATGGTACTTATAAAATAAACACACACATACAAATCTCATGCGAGTGAAGAGACCAATTAATTTAGAGATGAGAGATGAGAGATCAAGAATGGCATGGAAGTAAAGAACCATGGTAAGAGAGAAAAAGAGAGTAAATTCATTCTCTAACGGATATTAGTCAATAGGATCATTTTTAACTCACCAACTACCTTTTTTTAAAAAAAACAAATTTCCCATCTTTTAAATTTTTTTTTTTTTTTTTTTTTTCCCATAGGAAAGCGTCAATTAAAGTACAAAGATATACTCAGGGACTTACCTCTAGCAAGCTTAAAGATTTGTTTGGAAAGAGCTAGTAATGTGTCTCACAATTCCACCAGCAAACCAAGCCTAGGATGAATCAGAAAGAGAGAACTGAACACATCAGATGAAATCATACTCATATTGCATCTATGTATTATTTATTTATTTTTAACAACTTCTATACGGAGTCAATGTTAGAAACGGGAGCATTAAAAAACATAAACTTTAGATGAGATTTGGAATAAATTCTGCTAATAATTTTTTACGAATCTCTAGATGAGCGCATTTCTCTCCGCAAAGTAGTGTACACAATGTTTATTTTATGTAATATCTGCTTATTGTGGTGCTATGTTAGTTGCCATTAGCAAGTTGACAATATGACAAAACCATGTCCATTTGTCTGTACCAGTCTTTCTAGTCCACGACTTGCCTATATGTTAATCTGTACATATATGTTACTCTTATTTTGGATTAATGTAATAAATATCGATATTTTGTGTGATTTCAACAATTAGTGCGGTTTTTATAGGTATTTGATAGAAATAAGCTTTCTTTCTTCTTAGTGTTAAAACTCAACAATTGTGCCAATATTGTTTTATAGGACTATCATAGTGTGTGTTGTGTTTTAGACTTATTGAGCACCTTAAGCATTTTTCTTATTTAAAAATGAATGCATCAAAATATTTTAATGACTTATTTAGGCTTTTAAATAAAAAAGATACAAATTACAATCGATTTTTATTCCTGAATTATTATTGAAATAAATACCGTAAAAGAAGAGAGACTCTATTTTTATTCCATGCAAATAAAGAATTCTTGTTAGAAACAATTTACTGAGGTCTCACAAAAAAAATTATTTATTGTTCATAATATAAACTATAAACTTTAAGAAAAAAAAATGATAAGATTGGTTACAGATAAAAGAAAAAAAAAAGAAATTAAATGCGAGAACGTTCACTTATGGTGATTCATTGATTAATAAATAAATAAAGGGAAATAGAAGAAAAAGGAAATAATAGTAACATGTTTGAAAAAAGTAAGAAAAGCAAACTATTTTAACAAAAGTTAAAGATAAATTAATGCAAATTTAATGGCGAATATGTCATCAAATTGGTATGGGCTATGTTTGGTTGAGCTGAATTGGAATTAGATTGGGATTGTAATTTTATGACATTACAATTCCACATATCCAATTCCAAATTCACTGTTTGGATAAACTTTAAAATTCAAGCATAATTTAATTACAATGAAAATTGTATTGTTTGAATAACAACATTTTTTTTTTGATAACCCAGAATTTCCCAAGACAAGACCCTTACGGACTCCCTCCTAGGGTACTAAGTTAGGAATACTGCAGCCGGCCTCACATACCACAGTCCTAGGATTAGTCGAAGAACTAGCAGGGGGTAAGGCTCGAACCCGGACGAGGCATTACCAAGGCCAACACCTTCACTGCTAGGCCCCCGGAGGCTTGAAAAACAACATTGATTTGGAATAGATATTCATATAGACATATTTGATGTATAAACAATTATATGAACACATAAACAATATATTTGACAAATTTGAATCAAGATTGAATTAGTGTATATTAACACATCAATACTAGGTAACTTAATATGCAGTCTAATATAAATTTTATCTTTTTTAATATGTAATTCAACTATGTATCAACCATAGCCTTTATCTCAAATATTATTTTTTGATATTTTTGATATTTTGTGTGATATCTCTAGTCAAAAGGAAACTGGATGAAATTTTTTTAGATATATTTATCAATGAAATGAAATCAAATAAACAAATGACCAAAACTATTTAAGACACTCATACATTAATTTTTGATGATCAGATTCGTCCAATTTTATCATACTTATATAGCCTGACATTAAACAAAATATTGTTTAATTCTAGTGGGTGGCAACAGTATGTCTTTCAACATCATTCAGCGTTCACAACCAAACCAACCACCCCCTCTCTCTCCAACCCCACAAGAAAATTATAAGTTTTATGAAACCCGAAAACTGTTGGAAAATTAAGATTATATCCATTAAAAGGAAAAGTTTTTGTTTAACAGAATATATTTTAATAGTTGCCCCAAAAACTCTAAAGTTTTTATTTATTTATTTATTTAATCCAAAACCCTCTTGGGGCAGGGCCCTTTGGACCCACCCCAAGGTACCAAACTGGGAATGTTGCAACTAGCCCCATAGCTAGTCAGAGGCTATAATGGGGCGTTGGGAAGTCAAACCCTTACCGTTGGACCAAAAGCTCTAAAGTTGTTATGAGATCGAGAGCTTGAGGATATAATATTTAAATAAAATTTGATTAAAAAAATTATATGAATAATAAATTATTGTGAAATTTTTTTTTATGTGAATTTGAAGAACTATATTATAAACTAGGAATATTAGAATTCTTAAATAGATTTTTAGAAATGTTCCTTATCAAGAGCAGTGGTTAACAATAGAAGTAGAATATCAAAAATACAGTTCCAAGTAGTTAAATGGTCTCACAAGGCGAGCCGTAAACTCGGACATCTTGAGTTTAATTCTCACAGGGCACAAAAATATGCGGATTTAAATAATATGTGTGGTTTATTAGTCATTGCGCATACACTATACTTACTTACCAGCCATAAATCAAAGAGTCAATGGTAAGTTACTCGATTATTCCCACTATGTTACAATGTCGTTAACATACATCTAATTATTAGTACTCCTCAAGAAATAAATAAATAATATTGGTTGTAAAAAGCCAAACCTTGACCAAAAAAAAAAGAAAAAAAAAAGAAGATATATATGTGTGTGTGTGTGATATGAAATGTGAATAACTCATTTACATTTGAGGTGATCTAAGTTCATTTTGATCATTAAAAAAACGAGTATTTTAGATATTTTAATTTCAAAAATAACGATTTTTCATCACTATAACGGTCCACAAATGCCTGGTGTATTTGCATATTTTTGGAATAGTACAAGGAAGTTTTGTGGAAAAATAGAAGTCAATGAGGGTTTAGTGCAATGGCTTTTGCAAAGAATCTTGAAAAAAGTACCAAAACAAAAGCGGAACAAGTAGCATGGATAAGTTAAAATTTTATTTATTTATTTTTGGGTAAGTGGGAATCACAACTTTTACTTTACGTGGTGCATAATTGAACACTGGGCTGTTATGTTCCTTTTCCACATTATCAGTCACATTATAAATCTAAACAACCCACCCCAAAACATAAAATAATTAAAATGTTTATGATGGCTGTTGGCCTACTTCACTTGACCAAGATTGATATTGACAACGCAAAATGACAAAAATAATTTATTATAATTTGGTTTGATTGATTAAAAAAGCACGACTTGAGTAAAACAAAAGAAATAGACTACTAAATGTTATTACTTTGAAATTTCATTGGGGAAGGTACAACTAATTAGTTAAATTCAAGCAAAGCTAACAGTGAATTTTTATTGTTTGTATGAAAGAGAGTGTCTTATTATATGCTAATTGTGTTGCCCTGTTAGTTCCCATTAGCAAGTAAAAAATATGATAAAACCATGTCCATTTGTCTGAACGAGTCTTTTTAGTCCACGACTTACCTAAATTTTAATATGTACAGTCTTATTTTGGAGTAATGTTATAAATATCGGTATTTTGTGAGATTTCAGTTAGTGCGATTTTTGTTGTCGATATTTGATAATAATAAGCTCTCTTTCTTCTTCGAGTGTTAAAACTCAATAATTGTGCCGCATCAATAGTTAACAAAAATTGTTCAGCTAATTTTAATTAGAAATTAATAAAAAATTTTGTTCCGCAATTTATTTATTTTTTCATTATTTTAAAAATACTTATATTTTGACTCAACAAGTTAGTGGCCCATATGTTTTTTGTAAAGCTACTACGTTGTCTCGTGGTTTGGACTTATTTGGGCACCTTAAATATTTTTCTTATTTAAAATATGAATGTGTGAAGTAAGAACATATTGTTTTATAGGACCATTATGGTGTGCCTCGTGTTTTTTTACTTATTCAGCACCTTAAGTATTTTTTTTTTATTTAAAAATGAATGTATCAAAATATTTTAATGACTTATTTGGGTTTTTAAGTAAAAAAAATATAAATTACGACCAATTTTTATTACTGAGTCATAAACACAGTATAAATAGAAAGGCTCTATTCTTATTCAATACAAATAAAGAATTCTTGTTAGAAACAATTTATTGAGGTCTGACAAAAAAATAATTTATTGTTCATAGCATAAACTATAAATTTTAAGTAAAAAATTGATCAAATTTGACTAAATTACACATAAGTGGCAAGACCAAACCTTTATTAAACCGGCCTCGCTTTTTGTTTAATGTGTGTTTACAAGTACTTTTTCAGAGAAATGGTTAAAACCGGGACTTTATAATGATATCAAAGCTTACAGAGTCGTTGCCGGTCATTTAGAGCAAACCGAGGTTAAATGGTGAAGTTTGAAGAAATTCAAGCCCTAGAGCTCGAGCTGAAGTGTTGAGGCTCGAGCCTTGCAACAAAGAAAAGAAGAAAAGAAGAAAAGTCAACAAGGTATTAAAGCTCGAGCCTTGTACCTTGGTGCTCGAGCCCCAACATGGGGTGCTCGAGCCTTACCTTAGGGTGCTCGAGCCTTGACCCTCAAGCTCATGCATGAGGCGTCGGAAGTTGAAGAGTTAAATTTAATTAAAAGGCTATGCTCATATGTTTCATGCATC